CCCCCACACCCCGGGGGAAAAGGAGAGGGAATTTTTTGGGGGGAGGGGGAAACAAATTCCCCCCCCGCTAAAGCCCCACGGGTGGTAGGTCCCCGGGTGCAAAGCGTCTCCAAAGAGAAAAGGGAACACCGCCACTTCTCCGAATATTTAAAATATGCACTTGCAACTTTACAAAGAAATTCTGACCATTTGAAGAATAATGCCTATCGGTAAAGAGAAAATAATCTTCACTCAATTGTTTGCAAAGTCTTCAAACCAATTATAAGAGAATTAATATTTTCTTAAAAAACAGAACTTTTTGAAAGACTTTAATGGTACTTTATAATAAAATACATAGGTTTAAATTAGAAGTGTTGTGCTTGCTGTGAAAAAATAAGTATTGGTTTCTTAAGTATCATAATTGAACTTCAGATTGTAAGAGTTCTTGAAAATAAATATTTTTTCAGAGATTCATTGTTCCAGTTTTTCTACAACTTTATTCTGGTATCTGTCATTCTAGTTTTCTGAACGCAGCAACGGGTCACTACGATCATTCATCAATGGAAGTTCCTTTATGAAAAGCCTCGTTAAGTTTTGGGAGCTTGGTCCAGGAGTAATGAACGGGAAAGTCAACATCTGGAGAGAAATGAACAAAAGCGTAGGCGACGTATAGAAGAAAATAAATGTATTAAAGTTGTTGTAAACAAGTTGGCGCGCGTAGTGGTGAGCGTCGCGGAGCACTGGCACCGGGCCGCTCCAACGTTCCCGGCCATCGCATGATGTTGAGGTGGGTTGAACACGGTGCCGCAGGCACTGCTCTCGTCGCTTCCGTACGAGCACTGATAGTAGCAATTCACAGAACACGGGCAATGCGTTATTCAATGCTTCATCATGATTTCCGTGAGGATTATTTCAGAGTGAAGGAGCCAAACATTTTGTGAAATTGGTAGAAAAATCATAATGGTGATGCTATGTGTAAATGTAAATATTGTTACGGATTCTAGCAATTTTATTCTCTAGTTGTTTAATCTTATATGATTCATTGGTGTGACTAATTAAATCGTGTAAACTATTTGCTATGGATGACAGGTAGTGCGAAAAGTCAGGAAAGGTATGAAATTCTTGTTTCAGTCACGGAGCGTATTATGTGACAATCAATATCAAGTTGTAGATCTGGAAGATTTGGTAGAAACGTTAAGTAATTTGTATTCATTTTCCCAATGTTTGCTCATTTGTGATCGGTGCTGTGGTACTGTACTCTTTTTTATCAATCTGAAGAATTCAATCTCAAATATAGATAGAATGAAAACAAATATTTATGCTGCTAAAATGCATAAAATCAGTCAAGAAAATTAATTCGGCATATACACATGAAAGTTGATTTTATGAAATATTATTTACTTTGAATATCCTTTGACTAAAATGATAGACATTGCTATTTCGTTGAATAGATGCTAAAAATAAATAGCCTTCGATCTCTTCGACTATCTGTGATTGTGGCTGTCCCTACTTCATGTGAGTACTTCCCTTTAAATTCTCTCTAAAGGATTCACTTTAATATTCTCTTATGCTTTTTAGATATTATTTGTATCTTACAGTTTTTAGGTGATGATATGAGAACGAACCAATACTCGTGAAAATTAATTCATTAATCTCTAATGCATTCGATGTAACTCAACTCTCGAGGCGTAATAAGGTACGATTTTGGCTCATTTGCCTGGCGGAAGAAAGCGCGATATTCGTGGAGAATATGATCTTCGGTGATGTACAAGCTGTTTAGGAATCTGTCCAAAATAATTTCGCACTTTGGCCTGAACCGAGCACATTGAATTGAAAGTATTGTTTGATCAATGGTATAACATTACTGGACATACCTATAAATGAAATATTATCGTTCAAGAAACACTGGACTAATCATGGAATATAATTCCGATTCACTGAGAGTCAATTTGTTGTATACCGCTGGCATTCGTTATCATGATATTGATATGAATGCTATTTTATAATTGAAAGAATTGGACTCTCCGAAGAGGGCAAACAATATTTTGAAAACAGTGAAAACAATTTATATTATTATTATTATATTATCATTATTATTATTATTATTATTATTATTATTTATATCATTTGATTAGTTTTTCTTCATCAAGACGAAGCCAAATTACAAAGCCTTAAGCTATTTGAACGTGTCACTTACTTGGAGCAGTCTGGTTGATGCGGGACGAAGGCGGCCTTCCTTCCGCTGCAGCTGACGGCTCCCGCCGCGCCGGCCGCCGCCTCCCGGCGGCTGGTGCTGTGGGCGGGGCGCCTGGGTGGTGTGGTTGGTGGCCGTTGGTGCCGGCGCCGGGTGGGTGGTGGAGGTTGGTGGGCGGGGCAGGCGTGGTTGGTGCCGGATGGGTCGGGCGGGGGCACGGAGGCGCAAGTTCATCTGAGGCGGATTGGGGGGCCTTGTCGCCTGCGGGCGCGGCGGTCCGTCTCGTATTGTTGGGGGCGTCCCGTACTGACGGCAGAGAGCGACGGCTTTTTGGCATTCATTTAAGGCGAGGAGGGCAGGTGGCAGGCGCAGGCGGGCGAGGGCGGACGAGCGTGTCACTGGGGCGTTCGATCGGCGTCGCCTGGTAAGGGCAAGGAACTGATGCGAGACGGAGGGCCCACGTAAAAAGAGAATAATAAGTATTGTGGAAGATTTAAACACTATGTAAAAGTAACAGAGAAGCCAAGGAGAACCACATTTTCCGAAGATAACTGAGATTTCTTGGTCTCTAGTAAATGAAATTTTTGTTTTGTGAAACTCCACGGTCGCGATTTATTTACTTCTTTGAGAGTCTATTGCTAAAGACCGAACTAATTTTTTCAGGATTCATTTTTTTATTTATTTCTATTTCCTGATTTTTCCTCATAGAAGTGGCCACTTGGAATTTGCACAATTTTGGTTAATGGTTAGAGATTTCAATTAGTATGGTCACTCGATATGCTGGTCCTTGAAGGGTTGCTTACAATTTTTAATTCTACAAAACTGTACTTACTTTAATTACATATTTGATTTATTTATATTCGGTATTATTAGTAACAATTGCATTTTTGAAAATTAGAGTTATACAAACCATAGACTTGTGCTGTTTTAAGCGTACTTTCCTCGTTTTCAGAAACAAAATTTGAGCCCTTTTTTGAGAGTGTAAAATTACTTTTAATAAAAAAATACGCAAATATTACTATAATTAAAAAAACGTTCTCGGCGTATTTGGAATATTACAATTTTACTTTCTGTTCTTATTCGTAAGAAGAGAAAGCATTGTAACGTGCACCTGAAAAAGGTGATTAAAGTAAAAACCTTTATTTCGGGCCTAGGAATAAAAATTGGGATCAATGATGTCTTCTATGTATATTTTAATTACTTCTTAACACGTTGTGTCGTTGTTGTAATCGAGTATCCATGTTTTGTGGGTCTTTGATAAGGCAAAAATTCGATTTGACGTCAAAAGCGTCTGTCTGTCCCGGGTTCCGAGAGTATACGGCACGTGTTTAGAGGAAGTAATTTTACTAATAATGAGAAGTGGAATTTTATTCACTTTTTGTTACCAGGGCCTATAAATGGTGGTTAATAATAATTTATATATTTATAAGTCAATAATGGAATAATAACTAGGTTCAAGTAAAATAATTTGCATTTTTATTGAACACCGACGAAGAGACGAGTTTTTGGCTTAAATTGTGTAAATTATAATCTTTCTTGACGTTCCGTGTCTTCGTTAATATGACGTGAAAGATGAATTAAAGTATTTGTGTCTATGTGAATATTTATACACCTCTTATAATTCATGAAAAGTCTTGCTTGAAAAATAGAAAAGTAAGTGAAATATTGGCCACGAATTCCACATCAGGGCACCATTTCGGAAGGATCCGAGAATTATTTCTCTAAAACTATCGACAATTTTTTTTGTTTAAATGTATGAGTAGCTGAATGTCTTAAGAAAGACGGCTCTAGTATAATTCGAAGTTTATTTTCCAAAGTATGAAATAATCTTTTGTTGAAAGGAAATTAAATGTGGTGGCGCGTGTATATATGAACGTGGGCGGACAAAATAGATTGGTGCATGTGTGTTTTTATTAAGAAGAACATTATGAATTATCGGGTAAATTATGGAATTTGAATAGACCGATGGAAAAAAGACTACCTTCGCAGAATAGCAGAAGAAAACATGAAAAACATTAAAATGCTGTGTACAATCATCTCAGAACAATAAGCGAAATGCTTAACAGAAGTTAAGTGGCGTGCAACGATATCTTGCTAAAAAAAATTGTTGAGTTTTACGGGGAGACCGTTTCTTTGGTATTTTTGTTGTGCTTAGAATTTTTTATATTGAAAGCAAAATAACATGAAAGAATCAATTCAACTTCTGAAGTTGAGTGATGGTATTCTATATTTTGCCTAATGATTTGCCTTATGATACTTTCAGACAACTAATTGTATTTCAAACTCATGATGCTCTACAGAACGGCAAATTCTTGTGGCAATTAATGGTCGATACTTACTTGACGAGCTTTAACTCTACCTTGAATAAAAATGCATTTCGAACGTAACCAGAAATGCAATGAAATAATCGAAATAATATTAAACGACGTTGTGTGTTTTGAGACTTTAAACTTAAAAACTTATTTCAAATCTGATTTCTTTGGCCACGGTCAGAAGCAAACAGATCTTCAACTCCGGTCTTACCCTCGCTTCGACATACGCCAAGGCTTCCCAGTGCGACATAAACAAATCCAACTGAATGTTGAGCAGAGGAAATTCAGCTGCTGGACGACGGAAAGAAAAGGAACATCCGACAAAACTACCAATCGCCTTGAGACGCGAAAAATATCTGGAGCAAAAAGAACCTAGTTATTGAAGATGTTAGAAAACAAAAAATAAGGAAAAAAAGTTGTTTCTGAATTTTAATTAATTACTATTCAAGACTTATATAATTGCTTTGCACACTTGATTATAAAATGTGTAGATGTCCGGAACGCGCCTCAATTAAATATAATTTAATAGAAATAGTTATATTATTTATAATATAAGTATATTATATAATTACAGTTGTAACAATAATATTAACAATATTCAGTGCGTAGCATTGCTCGTAGATACAATAATAATAGTTAAATAAACAGTTAAGAGTGTTTTATTTTTTACTACTAACTTATTATTCATTCGTAAAATGTATACCGTTAAATGGAAAATTATTTACATATTTATGTAGGTGGGAATTAAAAATCGGAAGTTCTGCGAAAGTATTTGTCTTCTGCTGTTTCACTCGCAAGGTACAGGAACGCCGTGCGGCGCGTTCCGTCAGAAATGAAACCTTGGCCTTTGTACATTGATGTCATACTTCTTAAAAGAGTAACATTATTAGTATTGTTTTAATAACTAAAATTCGTAATTATTTTATTTAGGCAATACTTTATGAATTCACATTCGATTCCTTTGATTAACTGAATGATTAGAGTGGGCAGCATCTGATTGAATAAATGGACGATGATCCTCACGCGATAATGCGTTCTGGTGATTGGCCTTTTCCTTTCGTGACATTGACACAACACAAAGTGAACACATTCATATCGCACTGCTTGCGTAAGTGATTCGAACGCCACGACCCCGATCGTTTATTCGCGAAGCGGTTTGGGGCCGTGGATAGCGTTTCTAAGTGAGCCTTTTGCTATCTTAAAACATTATTCTATTTCTTAAAATTAATAGCTAATCTTAAAACAAATAAATTTCAAATGTTCGCTATGACCGTCCTAAGTAACAGAGGGTAACCGTGCTGTATAATCAAAATTTCATCCGGTAGACCTGTTGTACAGATCCTCAGTAAGTCTCTTAACCACACCAGATCATCAAAGCAGTCTTCCTAACAATTCAAAGACTACTATATTTCTTTGTTAAGCATGTCACAGATTTAGAAGAAGACAATGAAAAGTACAGCTGATATAAGTCAGTGCTTTATACATCGCGGTTAATTTTGCTACAGTAGCCCGACACCTTACATAATTTCCACGGTACTGGCATCCCGTCGTTATTGAATTGAAATTTTTATCTTAAATGTATCTCCTTCGATATTAGAAAACATAACCCAATTCTGGAGTTCGAGCGTGGTGGCCGGGACGGCGTGCCTCATACTCACACCGCGCATGCCGTTGGCAGCACCTTCAATTAGAGGGAGTCCTTGGCCCCGCAGAGGCCGCCGGTAAAGTCATCCATGTCACGGCCCACGTCAGTCAGCCCCGCGTAGCCTTGCTCTTGAATCCCAGTCCATGCTTGATCTGCAGGCTGGTGGTGTTTTGCGTCCCACGCCATGCGTTTTCCTGCGAACCGGAAAAGGTCGTCCACTTGCAATGGAGCAAAAAACGAAAACAATATGTACGCCTATTCATATTTGTTTAATAAATATAAATTGATATGGGGTATATTTTTTTTCCATCACACTTCTTAAATCGCTGTAGTTCTGGTACTGTGTTTAGATTTTCAACAAAGCTTACTTTGTAAATGAGGTTGAAATTCGTGTGTTTTCTTGTTCCCGACGCTTTTATTACATGTTTTGAATTACAATAATTTCTCAGACGACATGATGTTAGCTTGATGTTAGCTAAAGCGGTATTTTGTGGATCGTAGTTAATGTAATGTACTTAGTTAGACATTTCATACAAGAATAATATATATATACTACATATATATATATAATAATATATATATATATATATATATATATATGTATACTATATATATATATATATTACGTGTGCTACTTCCGGAAGTGAGAGATGACTTACATTTAAGCAAACAAGAGTATTATTTAGTAGAAAAATTGTTGGAAAAGTTATGCCTTGTAGATTTAACTTTAATGTCGGTTCTTACGTATCTACATTATGGAATCTTATTTTTTTGCAATGTATTGTACCTTATATTTCCGCATTGTTCCGCATTGCACTGTACAGCAATTTCAAAGTAGGTGTTGCAAGGGACTTCACGTATCTTACATTAAAAAGTACAGATTCGAAACAATCTTTAGACTCACGATTTATAGCATATCGCGTCCCGAATCTTGTATCTTTTCAACTGTTTGGGGCGCCTTCAGTAAGCGTTCTTATGACTGGCGCAGTTGTTTTCTTAGCAGGGTGAGCAGGGAATGTGAAGTAAAACAGGGGGAGAAGAGCAGCAAAAAGGGAGAGAGGGAGAGGGACGAGAAGAAGAAATCGCAACCCGTACGACGCCTCGCCGTCCGCCTCCGTCCTGTAAGTCAAACAGGAGACGCCGATCGAACGTATAACAACCAAAAGAAAACACCGGTTTGTGTTTCTTGTTCTGCCGTATTGCAGTCCG